GCACACACAAAAAAAGCAAAGCAAATTCTAAAAAAGAAATGGTGGACTAGGGGGAGGTGGCTTTTAATGGCATGTGCATTAGTCAGTTGTGAAATACACAATTGACATTTTGTAACCCATGCTTATCCTTCTATGCATTGTTTATAAAAATAAATAGGTTTGCCCACCTAAAGAAAAAGAGAAATATTTTGGATATGCATTATTTCAAGTTGGACTGGAGGCTAAAATATATAAAGAACGGTTGCTGGAATTGGGTATTTCTAGTTTAATGAAAAGAAGGACTCAGAGTGACATGATAGCAGTGTTCCAATATCTCAGGGGCTGCCACAAAGAAGTGGTAGTCAAACTATTGCTCAAAGCACCTGAGAGTAGAACAAGAAGCAATGGGTGGAAACTAATCAAGGAGAGAAGCAATTTAGAACTAAGGAGAAATTTTCTGACAGTTAGAACAATTAATAAGTGGAACAACTTGCCTGCAGAAGTTGTGAATGCTCCAACACTGAAAATTTTTAAGAAGATGTTGGATAACCATTTGTCTGATGTGTTGTAGGGTTTCCTGCCTGGGGAGGGTGTTGGACTAGAAGACTTCCAAGGTCCCTTCCAACTCTATTATTCTTTCTATTCTATACCTCCAGGGTCCCTTCCAACTATTCTATTTTATTCCTATCCCTATTCCATTCTAATAGCATCCTGATATGGAGTTAATTTCTGTTACTTTGAAGTTCATTCCATACATTTGGAGATAAGTGCAATTTAGTTTCCATGGTTATTCTTGATAAAATAACAGAATAAGCATGGGAAATCCTTACATTTCTGACCCACAACACGACTTTTGGGCATGCAGAAAAGATGCTGTGATAAACAGCATTAATGCTAGTGTTGATGCTCGGCCATCTGCCAAGAGTCCCATCTTGTACTGTCCTCAGAAGAGCACTTGAAGAAGCTCAATTATGATTTTCAGGAAAGGCTTTCCAATGGTGCTTTCAGAAGTCACTGCTAAAATTGATAGTCACAGGGAATCCCAAGAAGACAAAGTTTCTCATTCTGGAAATACTTATAGAAATGTTATAGAAATGTTGATCTATTTAAGTAATGATGCTCTTGAGTTGTCTACAACTCCTAGTTAATTCATAAACACATTTTTGCAATTTGCTTTAATGTTCAGGAAATTGTTGTCATTGGCTTGACTTCCTATTCTAGTATCCAGCCTTAGTATTCCTTGGTGATCACCTATCCAAGAAATAATTAACCTTCCAAGCCCAAACAATGTTGGCCAGATGCCACTACTGAGATTACTTTTTCCCCAATGTATGACACATTCAGATGAAATATCAGGCATGGCAATCCAAACAGAATTTGTGTAAGAGTAGATATATATTCAAATGACTATTATACTCTGTTTTTCCCAAAATAAGACATCCCCTGATAATAAGCCCAATCGGGCTTTTGAGCGCATGGCAATAAGGCCAAGTGCTTATTTCAGGGTTCAAAAAAAAAAGGAAAAAAAATAAGCGTCATATTTTTAGGGAAACACGATATTACACAAGCAGCACAATACTCCATTATCAATGAAGAAAGAAGGTTCCTCTGACGTAACGTAAGAGTAGGAGAAAAAGATTCAGGCAATTTTTATTGAGATAATGATTTTAAAATGAAATCAGCGCACTGTTCTTTTTTAACCTTAATAAATCTTGCTAAAAACCATTTTGTGGGAATAACATTAGGAAAAAAGTTCATATACCTACACCTGGGTAATTTGTTAGTAATTATTAGCCCAAATGAGCATACCCAGTTTTATCTTAATTGTTTCCATTTGCCACCAAATATCGGGGTGGGTGGCCGGACTAAATTCTTTGTATTCTTTGTTTGTTGTTTTCTAACTTATAGTTGCTGAACAGGATAGGAGCTAGTTTAGAACAGTACAACGTACCAGGAAGAAGGGAGAAGTTGATTTGTTCTTCCTGTTTTTCCCCCAAAGAATTCATCTTTGGATTCAGACATGTGTTCAATGTCACACTCCCTTGGAAAAGAACTCTTTCAAAAGATTTTCATTTGTTCTCTATTAGAACCAAATTCAGAATATTACAATTTACATAAAGAGGGCTTCTTGAATGGCTGGAAAAATATATTAAGAGAGTCTCTTCAGGACCAGAAAGAAGGACTTCATCTTGATTTAGTCCAGGATTTGGACATGCAATTTGGACATTTAACATGCAGAATTTCCCTTGCCTTTCCTACTGTGCTGAATGATATGTTATTACTGGGATTGGGAAATGGTATATAGGTTTTAGAAGCAGAATAGTTTACATCTTCACTGGATAGATAGAAGGACAGCACCTGAGTCCTCCTAATATACACTTCCATTTAGCAAAACAGGACTTTTTTCTCAGACTAATACATATTCAGTACATATCAGAATTGCAGCTCAGCTTTTATGGATAAGCAGTAAAACACAACCATAAAAAAGACTGATAATGTGAGGAGAAGGCGGCTGCAATTTATTATCAAAGCAGCTATAAATCAGAAATTGCTGAAGCATTTTTGGACAGCTTTAGTGTAGAATCAGAGAACACAGTAAGGAAAAGCCAATGGAAGAAACAGCTGGAAAATATGCTATATAAATAGGGCAATTTTAACTTGTGTTACAGAACACCTTCTGGATAATTCTTATACCACTGGGAGGAAAAAAAACCACAAAGCAATGTGACTGTACAAGATAATGAGCTTAAACAATGACATAAGGATGATGAAAGTAAAAATGAGATCATTATTCCAGGAACAATATTTCTTAATATGTCCAAATATTTTCCCCCCAAAATCTTCTCCCTTGTTTCTACAGTCATAAGGTTTTTACTTTAGAAATGACCCTTTCCTATGCAAACAGTATAGGAAAAGTTCAGTAAATGCATGTCTTTCATCCTGAGTTCACTACATGTGAAAATAAAGTTTATTTGATCCGATACCTTCTTCAAAGCTGCGGCAACTACTGATTAGTATTTCCAAATGAATAGCCTGCATTTCATTATATTCATTTGCAGAATGAAACTAGTGTTTCTTAAGTTATCAACTTTTTTTTATTGTTTCTAGTATTTTTAATGGGTCAGAAAAGCATTACATAACCATTCAGACGTACCAGCTGTAACAATGCTTTTAAAATATCCATCTGCAAATACAGAATTGCTCAGGCTAATGAATGATGAATTAGTGTTAAGTAGGGAATTGACCCACCCCAGGTTTCTCCTCTTTCCAGCACTCGCCTGGGAGTTCTTAGTTCCACAAATCTATTGTCAGGATAAGCACTACAACAGGGCAAAATTGCTTTCACTAAAACATAATGCTGACTAAAATGGTAAGTGCATATGACTGTAACTTTATTGACTGTTTATTATAATGTAAAAATCTGTTAAGAGTCCTAAAAGCCATCAAGTTTGTATTCAATGAATGAAAAATGTTCCTATTGCTTACTTGGCTCTATTCTTCTCTTTCACAGCTACATAGAAAAGACCATTCTTAATAGCCAATTCTTAATTGCCTTTGTCAAGATTTAGCACAGTCAACGGAGAAACTACTGATTTTTTTTATGTGTCTGAAAGCCATAGTCCCATCCAATACAGAAACATGATATGAGATTATGGCCCTAGGGATCTATGAGCAGATGGTGCACATATACAATATGACAATACATTTGTGGGCTGTGATTTTGCTACTACTACTGAAAAGCATTATGTGTAGTAGGCTCTTACCAGGCTGTTAAGCTAGGAAGTCAAGGATCCAATCTATTAGAATTATTTCAAGCATTTTCCAGGATTAAATTACTTCTATGACAGTTTATCAAATACAGTAGCAGCAGTGTTCTCTAAATATTACTGTCTTTCCTACAAATCACTCAATTATGAGCTATGCTGAAGCTTGAGTGACACCATAAAGTCTTCAAAACACTGCTTCAGAAGCATTTCACTTATTTCAAATCTAAAGCATCTCCATAAAAGATTTCCCCTAGTTTTGCCTAAATCTTCTACTTCAGGTTTTAAAAAGAACAAAAATCCCCAAACCAGAATTTTTCTACAGCTACCCCAATTGTTTCTCTCACACACTAAGAAATAAAGTGTCATTCTATGTAGCTCTTCATCTTTTCAAGAAATACTGGATAAAATAGACTTGTGTGTCTCTTACTGGTAAAAACACATCTCCAAAGTTTTAATATTTTGTTTTGTTTAGCATGTTATTTTACAGGAATACAGGAACTAAGGAAGCAAACTACTGATTACCAAATATTTCTGTAAAGCTCCTTGAAGTTAATAAAACCACAGAATTGTTTTTTTCCGATTCAAATGTGTTTGATTTTCAGAGGCTGCCCGAAAAAGTCCCTGCAGTTTTATTGGGAAGATTTTTCAGAAGTGGTTTGCCATTGCCTCCTTCCTAGGACAATAACTGGCCCACAGTTCTAATGTAAGATTAGAACTCACAGCCTCCCAGTTTAGGCCCTGAGGCCTTAACCACTACCCCAAATTGGCTCTTTCAGAAATTTCTTTTTTTAAAAAAAATACAAATCTTTCTCATAACATTTATTCTGGAGAATGTTCAAAATTTTTCTAGGGAGTAAAATATCACTTCTACAAAACAATAAAGAATCAGACACTTAGGGAAAAAGAAAATCAAGGAATGATCAATTAGAATCAAACAACCCTAAAATATGATAAAAATAAAATATAGTAATTCAAAAATGCAACTGCACACAAGGACAAACAAGAAGGGGCCATCGATAAAATGCAGGAACACAACATAATTGATGGGTATGAATCTGTGTTAATTTGACAAATTCTGTTTCCCTCAGGACGGTCCATAGCAATTCAGGACATGCTAGAAGTACCATGCTAAGACAACTCTATCACAGCTGCCTTAACTTTGTGTCACTTAAATAAAGACACTGAACCAATTAGCACATTCAATATATCCTTGTTCACACAGGTCTTAAAACTACAGTTAATATCTTATCCTACCTTGCTGTGATCAGCTCAGTAGCATCAAGAGTAGCAGCATCACAGAGGACTGTGGTCAGTGGTTTTTTGAAAGAATCCACATCAGGCTCCAATTTAATGGAAACATCAGGAACATAAGAACTGGGCAGAAACAAATGGAAATATATTAGAATATATTTTCTGAAAAAAGGTGTTTTTAGAATATCGCATCAACAGATGACAAACATTGCTGTCAAGGATTAATACTAATAATTAATTCAGTGTGGTCAAAAGTTATTTCTTTTTCAATATGTTTTTTATTGTTAGTTTTCTGTAACCTTCTCCAAAAGCTCTCCTATCTGGTAGCCAGAGGTGATTTTCCAACAAGGTGTATCTCTTTTGTAGAAGGGTTTTCATAAATTTCAAAACCATCGTTCAGATCCAAAAGACAACCCGAAAATTTAGGTTATATTTCTGCTGTCTTTTCATATTGGAAAATCCCATTAAATTTGGCTGACAATGTAATTCTAAAAATATTAATGCAGTGCTCAAGTTTGTCTTTATAAATGTATGACTGGAATGAAGAAAGAAAAAAGTTTTCTAAATGGATCAGGCTAAGCAGATCTATAAATATAATTGAAAAGAGATAAAAATCCTAAATAAATTAATAAACCTAGAATAAAGATTTAATTTTAGGTTTCTTGAAATGCCACACACTAGAGGGATAACAGATAATACTGCTAGATCAAGCCAATATCAACATAACCACAGCAATCCAGGTTACAAAAAAGTAAATGTTGGAATAGACCAGTGATGGCTAACCTTTTTGCCATCAAGTGCCAAAAGCTGGGGAAGTGTGGGGTGGTTGCACAGGCACGTGCCCACACCCATAATTCTATGTGCCCTGCCCCCCCATGAATGTGCGCGCAACCCCCCCTGCTCCCGCCGCTTTTGGCATGTGATGGCCTGGTGGGCCCGGTAGGGCCGTTTTTTTCCCTCCCCAGGCTCCAGAGGCTTTCTAGGAGCCTGGGGAGGGCCAAAACAGCCTTTCCCACCACTCCGGAGGCCAGAAACACTTCCGGTGGGCCCAGAAGACCCAAAGCGCATGTGTGCTGGAGCTGAGCTAAGGCAACGCTAGCGTGCCCACCAATATGGCTCAGTGTGCCACCTGTGGCACGCGTGCCATAGGTTCGCCATCATGGGAATGGACCATGCAAACATAACTTTATTAAGAATTGTTTATAACTACCATGTTTTCCCGAAAATACAACATGTCCCGAAAATAAGGCCAAGCCTGATTTTTGGGGTGGGCATAAATATACGCCTTCTGCTGAAAATAAGTGAAGGGGTGGGCGTGGCCAGCAGCCCTTCCCTTCCCCAGTCACCTCCTGGAGGTTCAGTCCCATAATTGCTGCCCGTTGATCAGCTGAGCCAGAGAGGGCCGTGCAACTCGGTCCAGATCTCCAGAGCACCTTTTCCCATCGATCTTTATTTATTTGGGATCACAGCACAGACCCACATCCCCAAAATGTTCCATCCAAAGCCTTCAGCCTTGCAATCCTGGCAGGGGCATCTGTGCTGCAATCCCAAGTAAAGAAAGATCGGCAGGAAAAAATGGGGGAGGGGGATTTTCCTGCAGCCTGTCCTTTCTTTGGGATCATAGCACAGACACCCCTGCCAGGATTGCAAGACTGAAGGCTTTGAATGGAGCATTTTGGGGATGGGTGTCTGTGCTGCGATCCCAAAGAAAGGACAGGCTGTAGGAAAATCCACCACCTTTTTTTCCTTCCAATTGTTCTTTACTTGGGATCACAGCATAGACAGCCATCCCCAAAATGCTCCATCCAAAGCCTTCAGCCTTGCAATCCTGGCAGGGGATCTGTGCTATGATCCCAAAGAAAGAACGGGGTGTGTGTGTGTGTGTGTGTGTGTGTGTGTGTGTGTGTGAGAGAGAGAGAGAGAGAGAGAGAGAGAGAGAGAGAGAGAGAGAGAGAGAGAGAGAGAGAGAGAGACAGAGACAGAGACAGAGACAGAGACAGAGACAGAGACAGAGACAGAGACAGAGACAGAGACCCGATCCAACCTCGTGGAGTTATCCAGGGCTGGCAGCAATGTTCTCTCCATTCCCCCCACCCCACATACACAGAGGTCCCTCACCCCCCCCCAAAAAAACCTCCCAAGGCAGCCACATCCCTTCACTAACCTGCATTCCAGCTCCGTTCTCCACGAACGTTCTTGCCCTCCATATGCAGAACGGAGAACGGAGAACGTTCTCCGTTCTCCTGTTCTTGCCCTCCATATGCAGGGCAAGAAAAGTCTGTGAGACTACAGTAAAAACACCTTCCAACTTCGCGAGATTTTTTTTTCTTCATGAGAAGTTGGAATGTCTGAACTACCGGTATTTTTTTTATCCTAGTCCAACAGACTACTTTTCTTGTCCTGAACGCACAGCAGAGAATGGAGCTGGGAAGCAGGTTAGTGAAGGGATGTGGCTACCCTGGAAGGGAGGGTGAGGGTGAGGGTTGGCATGGGTGGACTGGCTGAAGGGCCTTCAGGTAAGCCGATGCAGGGCCTTGGGGCAGCTCTGCAGCCCCTGCCTGGCTTTGTCCTCCACCCCGCACCACAGCTTTGCTTCATTCTTCTTTGCAATGTGCAGCCTCTCACAGTAAGGAGAATTGCAGGCAATTCTCGTTACTGTGAGAGGCTGCACATTGCTTCTGGGCAGGGGAGGCTTGGTCCTCTTATCCGGTTCCCCTCCACCATTTCTCTTTTTCTCGCTCTCTCTGTCGCTCACACACACACAAAGAGATATTTGAACTCTTGAACTGCTGTGCACTTTTTGGCCAGAGGAAGACGAAGCGGGTGAAAAATGTTTGGGCGCCCGATAGGCACCGGCCTACATTGTCAAATATTTGGGCTGCTGAGCACCGACCTGTCTTGGGAACCACTCCCTGGCTGGACATGGAACTCCAGCAGGAAAGCGTCTCCTTTGGGCTACTGAGCACCAACCTGCATGCCTATTCGGTGCTGCAGGAGTCGGGCTACAGCTATGCTGAGCCAGGCGCTTTTCGGGCCCTGGCCCTGGTGGCTGCTGCAACTCTCGTGCCAGCTCTGCGCACAGCTCGCCTGAGAGCTGCAGCACCCACCAGACCCAGGATTGTAGCCTGGCACCTGCAGCACCAAGTAGGCATTCAGGCTGGCACTCAGTAGCCCAAAGGAGACACTTTCCTGCCAGAGTTCCATGTCCAGCGGTTCCCAAGACTGCCCGATTCTCAACCAGCTGGCTGCATGATTCTCAACCAGCTGGTTGCTTCCTGCCCACCTGAAAGAGAGGCTGGGTAAGGGTTAAGGGGCTTTCCCACCCAAGACACTCTCAAGTGCCGGGCTGCAGGCTCCACCGCACGGAGCCTCAATCGGGGCCAAGCTCTTGGCAACCGATTGAGGTAAGACTGTTCTTGAAGGGGGCGCAAGATGCATGGGGCCGCCTGCTGCTTTTGCACCCTCAATCAACTCGTTTTAAATAATAATTTTTAAAGAGCAACTGTGATCTTTGTCCCGCAGCGGCTCGTCCTCCGACCTGCTGTTGACTCACCAACAATCCCAATATTGCAGAATATATAGCCTCATGCTACATGACTAAGCTCCATTTCATGCTGAATAAACTAAATTATTAATGTATCTTAAATAGAAAACTATCTTTGGATATATTTTTACTCCAAAAGCACTTTATTAAAATAAATTTAATAAAAAATTAAAAAATCCAATTTAAATAAAAAAAACTGATTTTTTTATTTTTTTTAAAAAAATCATTGATTTTCATCCACCCTGCCAATAATGTATCTCAGACTGAAGTGATCATAGTCCCAAACATACAAAACAGCTTAATAATCTATTTTAAAAAATTGAAACGACAGTAAATATTTTAAAATACTTGCATACAAAATGTTTAAAAATTAGAAGTATCTTAGATTCGCATTCTACTTCTCCACCAAAGCGGTTACACATAGATTTCTTCACAAATGACCTCATTTGCTGTGTGGAAGTAGCCTGGTTAGTTCAAGTTAAGAGTTTTCTAAAAACAGAATATAACTTTTCTTATGTTTCTGCTTGCTAGAAACATTGGGAAGTCTATCAACTTTTTAACACAGTTGACATTTTCTGATTCCAATATATTCTAAATTGATTTGATAGACTGAAATTGGGCAGCCAATACATTTAAGTAAATAATAATGGGGACATGGGGACTCATGTGGTTAGGATGCTGATTCAGAAGACCATTGGGAGGTGACAACTTGGCAGTTCAAAAACTCGAGAGTGTGAGCCTTATGACAGAATCAGCTCCCGTTAATTTGTTCCAGTTCCTGCCCAGCTAGCAGTTCGAAAGCATGAAAAATGCAGGTAGATAAATAGGTACCACATTGGTGGGAAAATACCAGGAACATGAAAGGATACTACTTGGGTATCCCCTGAGCAATGGTGATGTCACCGGCTAATCCTTTCAATTTCAAATCCAACCAAGGTGCTTCTGACACAAACGTAGTAGTAGTAGTAACAAAAAAAATAATAAACTCATCAAATTTGAGTTCAGTTAAATACTTCAGTGAAACAAATATATTTTAAACCCTTAAAAAACAGATTAGTATTTGCTCACAGAGAGACAGGATGTACTACACAAATACAATTTTTGGAGAAAAAAAATATAAAGCAATACTTGATCAATGTTAATCTCTCAGCACATGAATACCAAGGAAGAGTTGGTACAAAATGTCTTTCCAATTATGCTTAAGACTCATGAGACTGAAATAATCAGGAAAAATGTCACAGTTTAATGGCTAGCTGCTTAATGACAGTTGAAATATGCACAATATACTGTATTCAACAGATCAGTTGGTTCAACCTCTAAATCACTGGTGGCATAATCAACAGCAAATATCTGAGTCAACGTGGGATGATAACATACACAAAGCAATCTGAGGTAATTTTAAGCTTTTGAGAATACAATGAGACATAAGCTATATACCCAAGAGGCTTCTAAATGCTATGGGTTGAAGTTTGAATTTACTATATATTCACAAGATTATGGATAGAAACACAAATATGCAAATATGCTTGCAACACACAACACTCTTCCACATCTGCCATAGTAACCACAAGTCATTTTT